ATTGTTGTTTGGCGGGTCCGGGCTGGGGATTCGAACCTGCCACCTTAGGTGTACGTGGCTGGCGCCTTAGCCGGTTGAGCTATAGGCGCCGAGCTAGCCCTGAATGTTCTATAGAACTTGTATACAAGTTTGCTTATGAGAGTATTATAAGTAATGTTCAAAACTTACTTAACAATAAAAATGACTATCAGCCAGGTATTGTGGCGGACACCTGTAGTCCCAGCTACTTGAGTGGTTGAGGGAAGAGAATCGCCTAAGCCCAGGAGTTGGAGGTTGCTGTGAGCTGTGTGACGCCACAGCACTCTACCGAGGACGACAAAATAAGACTCTGTCTCTACCAAAAAAAAAGAGAGACTATCAAAAAAATATACAGCTTAAGGTATATTCATACAATGGAATACGGGTGGCACCTGTGGCTCAAGGAGTAGGGCGCTGGCCCCATATACCGGAGGTGGCAGGTTCAGACCTAGCCCTGGCCAAAAAAAAAAAAAACTGCATACAGTGGAATACCACACAGTGTAAAAGTGAATGAACTCCAGGATACAACATGGAGCAATCATACAATGCTGAGTGAAAAATGACACAAAAGAGTATACACGGAATGAATCCATTTACTGAACACTCAAAAGTAGACGGACTAGACTAAGTTGTGTAAGGAATGAACACAAGGGTGGTCAAGGTCTGAATGCAAACAGGGAAGCAACTGATATAACATGATGGCCTTGAATGTTCTCAATCATTTTTTCTTTTCAGACAGAGTCTCACTTTGTTGCCTTCTGTAGAGTACCTTAGCATCATAGCTCACAGCAACCTCAAACTCTTAGGCTCAAGTGATCCTCTTGCCTCAGCCTCACGAGTAGCTGAGTCTGCAGGTGCCCACCACAATGCCTGGCTATTTTCTTGCTGTAGTTGTCAACTGTTGTTTAGCAGACCTGGGCTGGGTTCGAACCTACCAGCCTGGGTGGATGTGGCTGGCACCCAACCACTGAGCTACAGACACTGAGCCAGAATGTTCTCAATCTTGGCTGTACATAGAAATCACCTGAGGATAGGTCGGGGGGCGCTCAAACTTTACCAGTAGCTAGGCCCTGCCTCCAAAGGTTCTGATCTCAGTGTTTGAGATGCTGGATTTGGGCATCTGAATGTTCATGCTCCCCAGGTGTTACTCAAGTACAGCGGAGTTAAGGACTTTGCTGTAAGGTGAAGAGAGGATTGTGATGGGAGGGGATTGGCAGTGGTTTTCCTTGGCCTCAAGGGGAGTTCACAGGTGTCTCATGTACATATAGACACACAAGGACGTCAGCAATCTGCTTTCTCCACAGCATACACGTAGGTGTTCCAGGGCCCACAGGTGACAGCCTTCACTTGGAGTTGTTTATCCATAAAGTATTCCACACGGCAGGGCCGATCCAAGCTGGTAGTGTCCTTGTGACCAAGCTGTCCATATTTACCTGCAGTGAAAGAAGCCCCTTTGTTGTCATCTCCTCTGGGCCTTGCAGCCTTTCCCCTCCAGGAAGTTAGTCAGCCTGTTAAAAGTGCTCCCGTTGTGCCCTCCCCTCCTACTGGTGTCTGCTCTGTGGCTCTGGGAGACCCAGAATGATAAAGCCTCCAAGGCCAGGCCAACCTGGGGGTCCTAAGGAGGCCAGCAGCAGCCAGCCACCCCAGGCCAGCTGTGGGTCCCGGCACACAGCTGTGATGACAAGTGAGTAGGACTGGTGGGCTGGTCCAGGATGGAGAGGAAGACACCCCATTCACTGCAGCTGGCAGCTGTAGAAAAGGTCTGATCAACTTAAAACTCACTATTAATATTTTCAGGCTTCCGTGATACATACAAGTAACTGCCTTAGTCAGTGAATAAGCCCTGCACCTGTAGTTTAACAGTAGCTCCTGGGCTTCTCTGTTACCCAAGCTAAGATGTTCAGAGCATATATATGTATATATATATATATATATTTTTTTTTTTTTTTTTTTTTTTTTTTTTGAGACAGAGTCTCATTATGTAGCCCTCAGTAGAGTACTGTGGTGTCACAGCTCACAGCAACCTCTAACTCTTGGGCTTAAGCAATTTTCTTGCCTCAGCCACCCAAGTAGCTGGGACTACAGGCACTCACCACAATGCCTGGCTATTGTTTGTTATTGTTGTATTGATTGTTTTTGTTGTTGTTATTGTTGTTTAGCAGGCCCTGGGCTGGGTTCAACCCGCCAGCTCAGGTGTATGTGGCCAGAGCCCTAACCACTGAGCTATGGGCACTGAGCCTAGAGCAGAGATTTTCATCTTATTTCTTTCTCTGCTCAGCACCAGAGTAACAGCAGCTGAGTAAATGCTGGCTATATACTCCTTTCAGACAGGCGGGCTTTTAGCAAAGTAGATGGGCAGTACTGATGTCCTCTCTTGCTGCTTCTCCTGTTTGCTCTTGGACCTTCCTTGGTGTGCCTACATCCACTCTGACCCCAGCGATCCAGTGGAGGCTCTGCTTCCATTAGTCCTCGTGGCTTTGTCACCTGCCCTGTACTCCCAGGTCTTTCCTCCCCTTGCTTTAAGGGTCACAAAAACAATCTTTTACTTACCCCAGCCCCAGGTGTAGAGCTCTCCCGTTCCTGAAACCAGAAGAACAGTCAGTATTAGCTGTCACTGTCACTCTTTGGTAAGGCATTTAGCTAACCAGGGTTGGCACCATCTGTGTAATCCTCATGAGATTTACTTGGCATAGAACAACATATTCTCTTAAAAACTGTCTAATCCAGTGATTTTCATCTGGTGTGCTATGAGAGGATCGTAGGTGTGCTGTGAACATTTTTGAAGATCATTAATTAAATTATTTTCGAAAGAAGTTCAGAGCATGATTAAGTATATTCTTTTTTTACTTTTTTTTTATCAACATAATTTTTAAGTGTGCCACAGAAGTTTAACTATAAATTCCAGTGCCCTGAGATTAAAAAAAAGTGGAAAAACACTGGTCTAATCACATCTGGGTGGTAAAGGATTCAGACTGAAAAAGAAGCTTGTCTTCCTGTATGTCAGCTCATTGGCCTAGGGTTCATAGCTACTGTGTTCAGGAGTCTTAGAAACTGAACTAGGCAGGCCTGGCTGTCAGAGGAAGAGAGTGGTGGGGAACATGTCTGTGTCCCAGCACTGAGGCTGGAGGGCGTCAGCATCCCTCCAGAAGAAAGCATCTTCTGGGCCTGACAGGCTGAGGAGCTACTGTTAAACTACAGGTGCAGGGCTTATTCACTGACTAAGGCAGCTACTTGTGTGTATCATGGAAGCCTGAAAATATTAATAGTGAGTTTTAAGTTGATCAGACCTTTTCTACAGCTGCCAGCTGCAGTGAATGGGGTGTCTTCCTCTCTATCCTGGACCAGCCCACCAGTCCTACTCACGTGTCACCACAGCTGTGTGCCGGGACCCACAGCTGGCCTTGGCTGCATCTGAGCCTAGGGGCAGATCCAATAAAGCTGGGAAAGGCTGGATAGATATGAAGGGGGCTGGAGCTCCATCCTCACCCACGGCTGCTCTCTTCACTTCAGACTCATCTTTATTCAGTCCTGTGGCTATAGGATGATTAGAAGAAATCTGGTAATGCTGAGTGAGCAAGCACCAAACTCAGCCTTATTTAGACAGTAATTTATCAACTTGTTCGTTAGTGCAACAGCTCTATAAACACATTATTGTCTCATTTCAAAGCTCATGCTCCCAAGCCCTGCATTCTATAGAAGTGCTGGGAGTTGATAGGCTTCCAGGGCACAGAGTGTCCAGAATGGCATCAGTCTTCACAAGCTCCCTTGTATAAGGAGCTCAGAATCTCGGGGGGACAAGGATGTCACACGCTCCTTTTGAGCACTGTAGCTCTCAGGCCAGCATATAACCAGGAGTGAGGCATGACAGCATAACCCAGGGAGAAGGCTGTGGAAGTGCAATTGCCTCACCTTCCACTGCAGCTGGTGCCCTGTCCTCTGCCAGGCTCCTGGTGGGCAGGGCCAGCTGCCCTGATTCATTCCAGCCCCAGACATAAACGTCTCCAGTCTCTAGAAGAGATGAAGTGGACGTAGTGACCAGACTGGGAAGCCCCCCAGGCTTCTGCCCTGCCTAAGGCAGCAATCTAGCTGCCTCCCAGGTCCCTGTGTCTTCCTTGTCTTAGGTTCCTTCCCCATCTGTATCTTCAGGTCACACTTTCTTTAAAGTCCCTTGCTGGACCTTCTAGTCCACTTTCATTCTTTCCTTTTGTCATTAATTCCCACCCCGCCCCAATTTCAGAAATGTATCCCTGGAAGTGCCCAATTGGTCTCCCACTAAGCCGGCCTGTTTACCTTTCTCAACCCCACCTACCACTGGTCCTGTTGAGCCCTTGCCTCCCTGGCCTCCCACAAGGAAGGTAAGAAATACAAACACCAGCACAGACTTAGCCCTTCATAAGATCAACTTGTACTGCTAATGAACATCTAGCATTAGGGCTGGCACTCCAGCCTGGCTGCCAACCCAGGTCCACTGCATGAGAATGTGGGGCCCCTGGTGACCTTAGTAGCAGGCAGACTGAGAGCCCTAGACAAAAAGACCTCTATTCCCAGCCTCACCCTTCTGCATACGCTCTAACAGCCTGGGAAACAGCTGCACTTGGGCACCTGCCAGGTAGTGGTGGACTTCACATATACAAGGGAAACTCCTCACTCTGGCCTTAGGCCACCAGCTATGGACCACCACAGAGCCACAGTCCTTACTATCACCACCCTCCCCCATGGGCATCCCCATGTCCACTCTGTGCCACAGATCATGGTCCTCCTGAGCAACTATACCCTTTCTTCTCCATTTTCCATGGCTCATCTACCCCCGACCCCTTCATGCTCCCTTTGGGAGCATTTTCAAAAGACAGCCCTGGCTAGTGGCAGATAGATGGGATATATGATGACAGCAGTCCCAGAGAGAAGACAGGAAACAACTGCAACTGTCCAGGTGTGAGTGGGTGATGGTGGAGGCTGAATGTGCTGGATTTGAGAGGCATTTAGGAGTCACACCTGACTGGAGTGACATGGGACGGAGAAAAGGCTTGACAAGGCGGTGAGCTTGTCTGGAGAAACACGAGATCACTCACCACTCACACACACAGAATGCCAGCCACCTGCAGCCACCTCTGCCATGGGCAGGCCCTGCAGCGCCTCCAGCAGCCTTGGCTCTGGCTCTGCCTCCAGGCTCCCGTGGCCCAACTGTCCGTGCCTGAACAGGGGAGGTCCTAGTCATCTAGGGGTGGATCACACTTTGCCACGGCTTCCTTGCCCCCACTCCCACTCACCTGCCTCCACCCCAGGAGAACACCTGGCCAGCCCAGCCCAGCAGCAAAGCATGCTCAGCGCCCAGCTCCAGCCGGCGTGCCAGCAGCTCTGGGGCCAGAGTTCGGTAGAAGGGCGGCTTCCGGCTCACATAGGAACAGGCACCGGGCAGCAGGGGCAGCATCCCAGCCTGGGCCTCACAGGCCGCTTTGTCTTCCCCCTCGACCTCCATCTTCTGAACCCACAGGGGCTCCCCGCGCAGTGCGGAGCCAGGTGCCCAGGCCTGTAGCAACGCCCCTGACCCCGGACCTGGACCCTCTCGCAGCACCACGAGGAGCCCCTCCTGGGCCCACACGTCCCTGCAGCTGCCCTCGGCACCAATGGTGGAGCCCGACAACTCCACGCGTCCTCCTCCTGCGTGGGCAGAAAGAGAGGGCTGGGGAGAAGTGACACAGCCCCGAGGATCACTGACTACAAGGGCAAGGCGGCGAGATGGAGGGTGAGGGGTGTTCCTGGGAAAAAGCTGGAATCTGAGGGCCCACCCCAGGATATGGGGCAGGGACAGGTGAGAGAACTACCCTGGTGTCTGGATGGTGGGAGGAGGGTGCGGAGAGTAGGCCAGGAATAAACTGAGATAGGATGGGGTGCTCACGGGTCACCACTGCCGTGTAGCTCCAGCTCGCGCTCACGCGGCAGGTGTCGGCGCCCGCCTGCAGCGGCTTGGGACTGCACACTGGGCGCACGTGGCCAGAGCCCGGCGCCTGGCCAAAGCCGCAGAAGCCAAAACCGAACCAGGCTCCTGGCCGCTCTCCGGCCATGTCCTGACAGGTCTCTCTTGGCAGTCGCCTGGCTGGGGCAGCCACGGGACGCAAGGGTAGGGCTGGATCCCTGGCAGGTCCCAGCAGTATGTATCTGTAAAATGAGGTGACACCCTCCTAAGCACGCAGGCAAACGTTCACCAAGCAGAAGCCGATTTAGGAAGATGCGACCCATTTGGAGAGGGCACCTCCTCATCCTCCTTCTGGGCTCAAACTTGGCTTGCCACCAGAGTAGCACGAGGGGCTGGACTCGGAGCTGAGGCCCCTCCAGCTCAAACTTCCCAGCCCCAGGCACTTTATCAGCCGCGATTTAGAGACTTCCCAGGTAAAGTAACTCTTGCAGAATCACACAGCCAGGACAGGAGGTGGGCAGATTCCAGGACCCTGGACTCCTCAGTTGGTGCTCTTTCCATTAGACAGTATCCCTACAGCTGGCGGGGACTCCTAGTGTCCCCGTGTCCCTGGGCTCTGAGTCCAAGTCCCTTTCTGTGTGTGTGTATATATATATAATTTTTAATTATTTTTATTTTTTTTTCCTTCAGTTTTTGGCCAGGGCAGGGTTTGAACCTGCGACCTCCGGTATATGGGGCCGGCACCCTACTCTTGGAAGGCGCCGCCCAGACCCTTTGTATTTTACAAAGGGTGGGGGCAGAGCCTTTGGCCCTGCCTATATGATTGTTTGTAATAAGTGCAAATAAAAGGTCCGATTCTGGCACACACCATAACAGGCACACAGTATTAGCATGGTAAGTCCAGTTCTTAGAATGGACACACAAGAAAGATCACTGGAGGGCTTACTGGTTTTAATGGATCTATACAGATACAATTTCAACTAGACTGTATCTAGTCATTTATTCATCCAACAAACATTTACTGAGAGCTCCTGCTCTGGTCCAGCAAGAGGTCACCTGTCCGCCCCGAGAATCTGACTTTTGCATGGGGAATTGCCCCACCCCTGGGGTCCTCTGACCTTGATTGGATCTTGCACGCTCTACCCCCTCAGGCATGTGGCAGAGCGGCCGCCTCCGGACAGGTCGCCCGTCCGCGGGCTGCAGCGGCTCCCCGGGGCCAGGCGCCTACGTGGACAGAGACGTCACCGGGCTGGCTGCGCTCACTCAGCGCGGCGGCCTCTCAGGTCCCAGCTCCATCGGACCCGGCGAGGTACTCACGCTGGGCCGCGGCGGCCAGGCCAGTGCACTGGCTGAAGAGTTCTGTGCGCGCGGAACCAGGGCCGACGTTGACCAGATGGTCCCGCCGCGGCAGTAGAGTTCAGACTAAAATCTATTAGTAACACTGGAGACCTGAGCTGACGAGTTGGCTAGGGGCCGACTTTGCCACCCACTTGGCTTGGGACAGTCGCAGGAGCTCAACGCCGCTGCGCTGGTCTGCCGGCCAAGCCCCAAGCAGCTGATTGGCCTGGGACCTGTCACTCACCTCTGCGGAACCAATGAGCGCCCAGCTGAGCTCAGCCGGCGGAGCGGAAGCTCAAAGGGCTTCCCACAGGGAAGTGCGTGCGGGTTCGCACCCACCCCAAAGTCCGCGTGCAGCATGCAGGCCCCAGATAAGTCGCAATTTAAAGACCAAAAAAACTGAAGGACCGACATACAGAAGTTTATACCCTAAAACCATTTATTTCCACGAAACTGGATGTTTTTAAGCAACAATTCAATGGTCCCTCGGGTGGAGAATCCACTGGATTCCTTGCAGAGGCAACTCTGCTGCAGACGTAAAGCTCTGGCACACACCCCCCTGCCCAGCACCTGCGCCAGACGCTCCCGCACTCAGCAGCCTTCCCTGCCCAAAGACAGGGCACACGCTCGCATTCTACACACTTTTGCTGGAGGGCATTCCTACTGGCAGGTGATGCGATGCGCCCTTCCGTGTACCCCATCACCCGCAGGTGGGTTGGATGCACATTCCCCATTCCCACCTGTCCACAACGACCTCTCTGAGTGACACTACAGGCAGTATTGGCTCAGCCAGATTGTATGACTGAGTGCAGCGTCTGACTCAGAACAGAGAGCCTCAAACAGCTAGGGAGGCAAGAATGCTCCACAGCCAAGCCCCACCAGCCACTCTGCTTCTGTTCTGGTTTTCTGTGCTGCTAGGTGGCATGTGTAGAGGGTGTGTGTGTGTGTGTGCCCAGCAGTGGACCCTCACTCTCCATCCTGGCTGGGTTGGATAAGCCCGTATTCCACTGCTTTCCCCAGGCAGGCTACAGCAGCCCTTGTGACAGGGCTCTCGTCACCCTTAGCCAGCACTGACAGGATCTCCAGCACCTCGCTCTCCATCAGAGTACTGGCATTCTCCCTGGAGGCCTCCATCATGTTCAGGACCACCACAGTTCCCCGGTGCTGCAACTCCTGGTTGGGGCTCAGAAGTAGAGCCTGCAGGATCTCCAGCCAGTGTGTGGTCTACAGCAAACAAGGCAGGTGTGACCACCAAGCATGGGCTCAAGCTTGGCAAGGGGCATAACCACGGTCCTAGGACCTCCCCTACGTGCCTCCTTGCTGGAAGTTCCTGGTCCACCCCTCCTCCCTCAGCAAGAAGAGACACTGACCACTTGGGGGATGCGGCTACAGAGTGAGGGCCGCATTGAAGTGAGCATGGCTAGACCCCCAGCAGCTGCCCGCCGCAGTAGCTCATCCTCCTCTCCACTGTACAGTACCAGCAGCTTCAGCCGGTCATTGCCCTGGGCTTCAAAGAGGTCCTGCACCTATGGCCAGAAGCGGGGAGTGAACCAAGTCAATTGGGTGCAAGGCCAGCCAGAGCACAGGTACCTCTATTTCCATGTTGGTCATGAACATCTGGACAAGCCCTCACCTCTTTGCTCATGGCCAAGTTACACATGCACTCTGTGGCTGCCCGGCGGATCATCTCATGCTCCTCAAACATGTAGCCCTCGATCATGGGCACAGCCTTCTCCTTCAGGATCTTCTGCCTGCAGGGCCAGAGGTGGGAGGGGCAGCATCATCCACCCTGAGCCACACCAGAGATAAACTGCAGTGCTTTCTAGCTTCTACCCTGGCCTAGGAAATAGCATATGATAGTGCAGAATGCTGACACAAGGAGGAAGGAGATGACTGTGGTAGTAAGAGTGATGCTAACATCTAACACTTGAGTACTTACCCTGAGCAGGATTTTCTTACTTAATTCTCACCACCCTATGGTGAAGATGCAGATGTATTGAGTAATGTGCTTAAGGTCACTATTGGTAATAACAACTAGTACATCTCTTTTTTTTTTGTAGCCCTTTCACTTTGTAGCCCTCAGTAGAGTGCTGTGGTGTCACAGCTCCCAGTAACCTCAAACTCTTGGGCTTAAACTCAAGAAACTCACATTCTTACCTCAGCTTCCCAAGTAGCTGGGACTACAGGTGCCTGCCACAATGCCCGGCTATTTAGGGACGAGGTTTCACTCTGACTAAGGCTGGCCTTCAACTGGTGAGCTCAGGCAATCCACCCACCTCAGCATCCCCAAGTGCTAGGATTACAGGCATGAGGCACAGCACCTGGCCAACTAATACATCTTGATTTGGGTACAGGTGCCTATGTATTTTTACATATATTTTCTCATTTAATTCTCAACACCATTCCATGAGGTAGGTGCTATAAATCATCTCATTTCACAAACTGAGGCAGCACAGCACCTCACTTGTATGAGGTTATACATCGGTACTTAGGGAAGCCAGGATCTGAGCCCAGGCAGTCTAAGCCTTAGCCTAGCTCATCTCTAGGTGCAGAGGACTCACTGTGAGGTTGAAATAAGCCAATGAGTGTTTTCCAAACTGTAAAGTGCCCCACCAGAAATATTTCAAATGCTGATGTCTGGCTCAGAACCACATCCCAAGGGACCTTACCGGAGCCTCTCGCTGATCCCCGCCAGGTTTGTTAGAGCCATAAGTGCCTCAAAGTTCTGCAGGCCTGAGCAGTTGAGGTGCAGCAGGGATACAAGGGGCCGGACCACCTCATAGATCTGTAATTACGCACCCCCACCTGTCAGGGTGACTTGCTGCAGCCGCCACCAGCCCCATGACCCTACAGGAAAAGTCTACCCCTTATGAGAGGGTTGCTCTCAAAGGCTTCCCTCCCTACCCCAGGCCTTAGCAAAGCTGCTACTTCCTGCTGGTCCTAAGAAAGAGCTACAGCCCAGGCCAGAGGCCACCAAGGCCAGGTGAGGAGGTGAAGAAGAGGCTAGGGCTGGGGCAGGAAGACACGCACCCGCTCGCCAGGAAAGGTCATCTCTGGGTTGGAGGTGATGGTGAGCTTGGCAAGAGCCTGGGCTGCCTTTGTCTGCCCCACATCAGTGCCCTCCAGGGCCAGCGGGATCAGAGACTGTAGGAACAAGTCCATCAGTGCCCAGGAGGTACCTAGACATGCATGACCCAAACTCTCAGGCCCCACAACCTCACCCTTCTACTCCTCCAAGCCTTGACTCCCTGCACAGACCCTCTTCACCTCTCTTAAGGTCTCTCCTTAAGTCCCCCAGACACTTCCTGCAACACCTATTAAAGTTAGATGGGGCTTCTGCTGGGTGCTAGGGCTATGGAGGTTAAATGAGACAAGGGAGGTGCCAAGCAACTCCAGGGAACCTGCCCACTTCCATGTTAGTCAGTGGGGAAACATTTCTCTGGTCATTATGTTCTGCTGATCCATATCTAACACAAGTCTCTGCTATGGCACCCACTGAGTCATGTTTATAGGCTAAAGGCTCAGCCATTAGGAGTGGGCAGACCAGCTTACCTTGCCCCCTCCCTGAGCAACCACAGTGCCTCGGTCTTCCACATCATCTACCAAAGCCAGGAAGACCCTGTGGAGAGAAGGTGGTGGTGGGCAGGTGGGGTCCAGGGCCCTGCAGACAGCCATTTCACTCCTGGGCTCAGCAAAGGAGGCAGACAGGCAGGTGCCCCCCAGCCCTTGCTCCAAAAGGTCTACACTACCCGGACCTGCTCCCTCTGGAGTCACATCTGTAGCCCCAAGGCTTAAGAATTAGGAAAAGCCAGGCTCTACACCAAGGCAGGCTCACCTGGAGAGCAGTTCTCTGCAGGAATTAGTCAGCACAGGGTTCTCAGTCCTCACCATGCACGTCATGGCTGACACCACACCTGCTGCCAGTAGCTTCTTTACCCGAGCACGCACGAAACTTGGTTTGTCCTGGGGAAGGAGGCAGCTTAGCCAAGGGGCCTTGGCTGACTAGACAGGGAGACTCTTCCCATAGCAAAAATTGATGAACATGGAAATGGCCAGGAAAAAGGAAAAGAAATCGCTGACATGCATGAAAGGCTCCTCTGCTCCGGATGTCCAGGTCAACCAGGCCCAATGAAGGAGAAACGCCTTGCCCCTTCCAGCCCCTTACCTTAGGGTGCTGCTCAGGCACATGCTGCTTGGCGTATTTGGCCAGCTCCACCATCTTGGGGTCCGGCTCCTCATAGTCATAGCTGTTGGTGCAGTTCACCAAGGCTGAGGCCACCGCAAAGAGCACAGCCCTCTCCTCAGACTACCAGCGACAGATGCACATTCAGTTAGGATTCAAGGGGCAGAGTGGCACATGGACAAATGCTGCTGCCTGGGTCCCCAGTTCTACCCACTTGGGCATCAGGATAAATCTAGGGATGGCCCTGGGCCCGACTCTGGGAACTTACAACCTTGACCTCCCTGACAAGGAGGCCAACAAGCCCACACCATGACACAGGGTACTGGCCCTTTCTCCCAGGGGGTCACCAAGACCTGGCAGGAGCCTGGTAGTGCTAAGCCCACATGGTGTTCCCAGGTTGGTGGCAGGAGGCCACAAGCTACCCTGCTGAGCTGGAACAGAGCCTTCAGAGCAGGCTTGTCCTCCACAAACTCTTCTTTTACATCAGCATCAAAGGTGAGGTAAGCCAGGCCTTCCACTGCCCAGCGCCGCGTGCCTGCATCAATTTGGTCATTGCACAGCCATCTGGGAATAGGCAGGGTAGTGGACGGCCATCAGACCTGGGGAGTAGGCTAGGGCTCACCAATGCCAAGGAGAGAAACAGGGGCTTGGGCATACCTTCAACCCCAGAAGGAATTCACATCCCAGTCTGCTAGGAGAGATCAGTCCCTACCTGAACTAGAGAACAGGGCAGCGAGGAGGCCCAGCCCCCACCCGCACTCTCCTGTCTCAAGGTCTGTCCAACAGCTGGGGAGATACAGTTACACCAAGCAACTCACTTTCGACACTGCTTGGCCAGTTTGAGAGTGGAACCTTCAGCAAACTGCTTCATGCTAAAGTCGGTCCCTCCGGCCGAGCCAAGCTTACAGAGTCCCTGGAGGAAGAGGGCAAGACTGGTTCCCTAGCGTCTAGGGAGGGCGGCAGGGGCTGGGCTCTTCCACACTGGCTTGTACTCTCTCCCCTGACTTTGTCACAAGGCTAGCACCTACAGCATTTGGCAGAAAAATCAGCTATAGGGTGGCCACACAACACAGCACCTACAGAGAATGACACACTGACCGCTGTCTTGGGTTCCAACTCCTTCCCATCTACGCTGAGACAGGAAGACCCTTTCCATTTCACACAAAAAGCTCTTTGCAGGTAGAGCTAAGACATGTGCAGAGAAAATGTGCTACTGCCAGGCCAAAATCACCCTCTTATGGGTACCCCAAAGAGGATAAGCAGCATGCTGGACAGTCCCCAAACCACCAGCCCCTGGGGACAGTGCTTAGCCCCTGCAGGTCCAGCCCATCCACACAGCCCATCTGACCAACCAGGGGACAGCATGTGCCACCTGCATTCCCAGTATCCTCTCTGTAGC